ACACTGTCGAATGCTTTTCTGTAGTCTATATATGCCATGTGTATGTTTCTGTGTTGTTTGTGTGCTTGCCGTAGAATGACTGAATCTATGAGTAACTGTTCTTTGCATCCCCTGTGATTTCTACGGCAACCTTTTTGTTGTTCTGTAAGAATGTCGTGTTCTTCAACATGTTTGTATATTTTGTTTGTGATACAGGATGTCAATAATTTGTAGAGTGTTGAAAGACACGTAATTGGTCTGTATTGTGTGGGGTCTGTGGTTAGTGTTTCTCAAATGGGATCCCGGTTGTTTTTTTAACCTGGGAAATATCCCGGGAAATTTTTCTTATCCCAGGAAATCCTGCAAATTTCTTAAAAATTCACTTTTTTTCTTATTTTGTGTTAAGGTTAAGAAATTTTGCAAATAAAAAGCATAATTATCTCATTCACTGTCAGAATACATTTGTATTTATTAATTTTACACCTACCTATTAGTTTTTTTTTTAATTTTTGCTCGTTATGGCATGTCACAAATGGTCGATAATAAATACGTAGCTTATTTGTGCCGGACTCTGAAAATTCTTTACTTGTCAGAACCTGTAATATATGGAATAACTGTGCTTACGCTGTCTTAATTTTTAACCATGCCCAGTAGCTTCAATAAATGCGTAACGCCAGATTGTGCAAATTGGGCAAAGATACAAACGAGTATAAAATCTGCAAGTATGAAGTTTTTCTTCATAAACCTGATTATTAAAGCCAAACAAATTGCCGAATTATTGAGCTTTATTGAATTATAAAGACCCTCCTGATTGCACCAGACTCCCCGGAATATACTCTATCCCACTCTGAGACAATAGACAGAACACAGACCTAGTATACATCGGCTCGATCAAACACTCCTTGTACACCCGCCTGCGTGAACACCAAGCGAATATCCGACACGGGAGGCTAACCACAGCCCTGGCCACATATGTGTCGGACCCCGAAATCGAGGCTCAACTAGAGAAGGCTACTATCATCATCAATACACCCCACCAACAGCATCTCAGGTGGCTAGAGACTGCCGCTATCTACAACGCCGGCCGGCTGGCCACCTGCATTAACCGGAAGGAAGAGCTAACCCTGTCTCTGGCCTGGCAATCGCTGTTAGACGCCAACCCGCCCTTTCCTCCCCCACCACACGACCGCGCATGCCAGAAACGACCCACCCAGTCCGATCCAACACCCGATCC